GGGGGGAGCGACCCCTCCCCAACCAATCAATCAATCAGTCAATCAATCAAAAAAATAATAATAATAATAATTAAAAAAAATCGTTTTCTTTTTTTCGGCCCCAAAATTATCGGCCCCCCCTCAAAAAATCCCCAGATTTCGCCCCCCCGTTTTTGAAGTTTTTATGTTTTTTTTTTGCGAGGGGGTAGGGGAGCCCCCCCCCGACTCGAAACCCGCTCCTCGCCCCCCAAACCCCCTCCCCGCCCCCCAAACCCCCTCCCCGATCTGTCGGTGGTCATGCTGGTCGTTAGAGAGGGGGCTGGGGGACGCGGGAGGGCGGTGCTTCGTTGGGTTTTGTGTCAGACATGTTGAGGCTGTACGTAGAGAGGGGGCTGGGGGTGGGGACGATGCCGGTGGTCATGCTGGTCGACGTTTCGTTGATGGTGATAATCACCGTCGTGGATCGGTTGTCGTTGCCACGTTGGGGTTTTGCATGAACCTTTCCTGTTTTTTAAATCGTCCTTCTTTATTTCAAACATGGCGAATAGATGTTCGCAACTGTGGAAGCGAACATGTATTTGTGTTGATTGTTATTGTTGACATTACATCTTGTTGTCGATTCGTGTTTTGTTCCGCTCTCATTTGCCTTCAGTAAAGTCATGGTAAGGGGGACGTAACGGGATCCGGGTTGCTTGCTTCAAATGATGGTTGATGACAAAGTGATGGATGTTCAAACATGGCATTGCACACGTTGGAAGCAAAGGTGGCAGCACAAATAACACACAACAACGTCATGCAATTGTGTACTTTTCATTCGTCGACAAAGAAGAAAACATTAACAACAACATTCATAATATACACGTAAAGTAAGAAACCACATTCTTGTGTCTCGTAAAATAAAAACAATCACTGGATGATGACACACTTTGCACCAAAAAAAAGGCCTTCAAGGCAAATCCAATCCAAAACTCCGGAAAACAGAACACACACGACAAAGGCGCGACTACGTAACCCCCAAACGTCACCCTCGGTGACAGCACACCACACGACAACTGCGACAGGCACGTGCACGCGCACGACGTCGCCCTCGCCAACTACGCTTTCCACTGCGGCATCCCCATCAACCCCACGCGCCGACACCCTCCTCAACGATGCACACTGCAAAACAAAACGGAAACAAAGTGTCGACACATGCCGCCGCGTGCACGACAACCCACATCGAAACAACCACCGCTGCTTCAACTCGTCATTCCAGAAAAAGGCCCCACACACACGACGACCCCAACTCACACGACCACCCCTTCCAGGACAAGACGCCTCCCGCATCGTGTGGCCCGAGCTCTCGCCTGCTCCCCGCGTCGTCCGCTAGATTTCTTGCCATAGCCACGTCATCGCAGTCGCCCGCTCCGCACGGCTGGCCGTGTTCACTGCGCACCAAATCGCTCCACCAGTGTGTCTCGTAGAATGAGCGCATCCCTTGTCGACGACTCCATACACATCGGCCTCAAGGGACGCTCCATCCCAAGATCCACCCTGCGACGCACACCATCCGGCCCGACCTCCCACAATAGATTGTCGTCGAAGGGGATGCCCGCGTCGATGAGTATGTTGTGCAGAATGCAGACGATGATGAACTGCTGCTGCAATGTGTCCATGTTCATCTTGTGGGAGCGAAGGAACAACCTCCACATCCCCTTCAGTCTGCCGAAAGCCCTCTCAACTGCTCCCCTCGCCGTCTTCTGCTTGTTGTTGAAGCGCAACTCCGACGGGGTTTGTGAGAGACCGCCGTAGGGGACGACTACGCATTCGGAGGGCGGATAACCGTTGTCCCCCAGCAGATAGCCGTTCATCCACACACCAAAAGGCAGCATGACAGGTGGCCCACTTCCCTGCCTCCGCGCGCGCCCATAAACAGGGCAGGTGGACGATCCTCACATCGTGGCAACTTCCCGGATAGCCGACGAAGACATCCAGCATGCGCAAGTTCAAATCCACGACGACCTGCGCCTGGACGGAGAAACGACGTTTTCTATCGTAGTAGTCCTCCCCGGGGCAATTCGCTGGCTTGTTGATGAAGATGTGGGTGCAGTCGATGCACCCATGGCAGTTAGGGAAACCCTCGTCAGCGAAAGCGCGCAAGACGACCGCCTTCCGCAGACCCGTCGGCCAGGATATCTTGTCGGGGTACGCACTCAGCAACGCCGCAGTTACATCCCGCACAGCCACCAACCCTGAAGATCTGCCAATGCCAAAGCTGGATGCCCCGCTCTCGTACGTCTCCCCCGATGCCCACCTGTACAAAGCGTACACGACAATGTGGTCAGGCTGGAGGGGCTCCCTATAGAAAGTGACACACCGTTCAAGGAAGGGAGACAAAGCTTCCGTGATCTCTCAGAACACACGTGGCGACATGCACAGCTTGTCCTTGGAGTAGTCCGCCATCGCGTCGTCGCATTGCCGTAGATCCTCCCACGTCCCGCCTGTCCGTCGCTTCATCCACCACCTCGGCGTCGCTCTGGGGAACGCTCCACACCCCATGGCGTAGCACACCTGCAGCACGGCGTCGCAAATGGCAGCATTGTCCTCTCCCTCCACATTCGTGGACTGCAGCGTCCTCTTCCGCCATGCGCGAATGGCCGCTCTCATCCTCCCCTCGGCCCTCTGCAATTGACACCGGAAGAGGATGGCGTTCACGGCCGCTACCACCACCGTCCTCTCCGCCTTGCTCAGTGTGTCACGTCTCCCCCCCCCGGTTCATGTCCATCGCAGGAACTGCTACTGTCGACATGGCCGTCGCCTAGTGCAAAAGACTCCACGTGTTTACGGCCGCTCAACAGCGCTGCTGCAAAAGAGTACTCGTGCAGAGCGTACACATCGACGACGAAGGTGCGCCTGTGAGAGTGGCGACGACGGCGATCGTGTGACAGCGTGTCTGCTGCTTCGGACGTGCACATGTATGTTCGGCGTGCCCACCGACACGCAGCCGCCACGCCGTGCCGAAATGATTCCGCCGAGGAACGTTGCTGCCGTCAGCCGTGCGGACGCCCACGCCGCCGCCAGTCGCTTCGCGGAAATTCGAAATTCGAATTTCGAACCCTGGACTGCGCGCCTTTTTTCGTGCCATATTTTTTTCCCGCCGCCAACTGTCAATTTCGCGACGGCCGCCCGAGGTGGACCAACGACGTCCGCACGGACACACCTTCATGGACCAACCGCCCCTCCCCCCCCGCGTCCGCTCGTCGATATATGAAACTGGCCGCGGAAGGCCCCGAGGGATCGTCCTCGGGGAACAACTCCGAGGATGAGTGGAACGACGGCGCGAATTTCCTCGGGTGACGACGGGAAAATTTCCTC